AGCTGTCAGCTTATCTGCTGAACTTGGGATTCGTTGATCTTCACAGCCTGTGAGCAGAGCTCTGCTCTCTGACCTGCCAATCTTGGGTCTGCCAGCCCCTGCAGCTATGTGAATCAGGAGAAACCTTGCAGTCTTGCCTGCCAATCTTGGAACTCGTCAACCTTCACAGCCTATGAGCAGGAGCCCTGCTCTCCGACCTGCCGATCTTAGGCTCGCCAGCTTCTGCGGCTGCATGAATTGGGAGAGCCTCTACCCTGATCCACAGACTTGGGACGTTCTAGCCTCTACAATTGCGTGAGCTGTTTCCTTGATGTAAATCTCTCTTTATATACTTATATGCTTTACTGGTATTGCTTCTCTAGAGAACCCAGCCTAAGACACGTGATCATCTCAATCAATGCAGAAAAGGCATTTGATAAAGTTCAACACCCATTCCTGATAAAAACTGTCAATAAATAGGAATACAAGGGAAATTCCTCAACATAATAAAGGGCATCTATACAAAACAAACAGCCAACACCATTCTCAATGGAGAGAGGCTGAAAACATTCCCCCTGGGAATAGGAACAAGACAAGGATGCCCTTTATCACCATGTCTATTTAACATTGTGCCCAAAGTCCCAGCTAGAGCAAAAAGGCAAGAAAAAGAAATAAAGGGCATCCAAACTGGAAAGGAGGAGGTAAAGCTATTCCTATTTGCAGATGATATGATACTATACATAGAAAACCCCAAAGATTCCACAATAGAACTACTGGAACTAATAGAGAGATTCAGCAGAGTAGCAGCATACAAGATCAACATACAAAAATCAGCTGGATTCCTATACACTAACAAAGATAACTTTGAAAAGGAAAGCAAGAAAATAATACCATTTATAATAATCCCTGAAAAGATAAAATACTTAGAAATAAATCTAACCAGGGATATAAAAGATCTATACAAAGGAAACTAAAAGACACTATTGCAAGAAACCGAAGGAAACCTATGTAAATGGAAAAACATACCATGCTCATGGATAGTAAGAATCAACATCGTGAAAATGTCAATCCTACCCAAAGAGATCTGCAGATATAATGCAATCCTGATCCAAATACCAACAGTGTCCTTCAATGAGATGGAAAAACTAATCACCAACTTTATATGTAAAGGAAAGAGGCCCTGGATAAATAAAGCATTACTGAAGAAAAAGAACTAAGAAGCCTCACACTACCTGATCTCAGAATCTATTATACAGCCATGGTAGTCAAAGCAGCCTGGTACTGGTACAACGACAGACACATAAACCAATGGAACAGAACTGAGGATCCAGATATAAATCCATCTACCTATGGTCAGCTGATCTTTGACAAAGGACCGAAATCCATTAAGTGGGGAAAACACAGTCTTTTTAAAAAATGGTGCTGAAAAACTGGATGTCCATCTGTAAACAAAATGAAACAGGATCTATACTTCACACCATACACAAAAACTAACTCAAAATGGATCAAAGACCTAAATATAAAACCTAAAACAATAAAGGTCATGGAAGAAAAAATAGGGACAATGCTAGGAGCCCTAATACATGGCATAAAGAGAATACAAACCATAACAAACAATGCACAAACACCACAAGATAAACTAGATAACTGAGAACTCCTAAAAATTAAACATTATGCTCATCAAAAGACTTCACTAAAAAAAGAGTAAAAAAGGCACCTACAGACTGGGAAAAAACTTTGTCTACAACATAACTGACAAAGGTCTAATCTCTAAAATCTGTAGAATACTTCAACACATCAACAACACAAAGACAAATAACCCAGTTAAAAAATGGGCAAAGCATACGAAGACACGTGTCACCAAAGAAGACACAGAGGTGGCTAACAGACACATGAGGAAATGCTCACAATCATTAGCCATTAAAGAAATGCAAATCAAAACTACAATGAGATACCATCTCACTCCAATTTTACTGGCACTAATCAAAAAACCAGAAAATAACAAATGTTGGAGAGGTTGCAGAGAGACTGGAACTCTTATGTACTGCTGGTAGGAATATAAAATGGTACAACCAGTATGGAGAACAATATGGTGCCTCCTTAAAAAGCTAGAAATAGAAATACCATACAATCCAGCAATCTCACTCCTAGGAACATATCCTAGAGAATTAAGAGCTGTCACATGAATAGACATATGCACACCCATGCTCAATGCAGCATTATTCACAATAGCAAAAAGATGGAAACAACCTAAGTGTCCATCAACAGATGAATGGATAAATTATGGTACATACACACAATGGACTACTACGCAGCGATAAAGAACAATGATAACTCTGAGAAACATCTCACAACAAGGATGAATCTGGAGGCCATTATGTTGAGTGAAATAAGTCAATCACAGAGGACAAATATCGTATGAGATCACTATCATAAAAACCCAAGAAAAGGTTTACACACAGAAAAAACAATCTTTGATGTTTATGAGGGAGGGAAGGGGTGGGGAAAGGAAATCACTAACTAGATAGTAGACGAGTGTTAATTTTGGTCAAGGGACAGACAATACACAACGTAGGGGAAGTCAGCACAATCTGACCAAGGCAAAGTCATAAAACCTTCCTAAACACATAAAACATCTTGAGTGATTGAGTTAGTGGGGTTGAGGCTGGGGACCATGTTCTCGGGGGGACAACTAGGTCAACTGGCATAAACATAGTTCATAAAGAAAATGTTCTATCCTACTTTGGTGAGTAGCATCTGGGGTCTTAAAAGCTTGCGAGCAGCCATCTAAGAAACATCTATTGGTCTCTTCACATTCAGAGCAAAGAAAAATGACGAAAACCAAATAAACAAGGAAAATATTAGTCCAGAGGACTAATGGACCACATGAACCACAGCCTGAGTCCAGAAGAACTAGATGGTGCCCCGCACCACCACTGACTGCTCTGACAGGGATCACGATAGACAGTCCCGGACACCGGGACAGAGAAAAATGTAGAACAAAATTCAAATTCACAAAAAAAGAAACAAAAAAAAAAACTAGACTTACTGGTCTAACCGTCTGACAGAGACTGAAAGAACTCCTGAGACTATGGCCCCCGGACATCCTGCTAACTCAGAACTGAAGACACTCCTGAAGACCACCTTTCAGTCAAAGAATAGAAAGGCCTATAAAACAAACAGTAACACACGAGGAACATGCTTCTTAGTTCAATCAAGTATACAAGACCAAATGGGCAACACCTGCCCAAAAGCAAAGACAAGAAGGCAGGAAGGGACAGGAAAACTGGACGAATGGACACAGAAAATGTACAGCAAAAAGGAAAGGGGGAGAGTGCTCAAACATTGCAGGGATTGCAACTATTGTCACAAAATAATTTGTGTATAAAATTTTTGAATGAAAAACAATTTGAGCTGTAAACTTTCATCTAAAACACAATAAAATTAAAAAAGCAGAAATTAATCAATTTGAAAACAGAAGGAAAGTGTAATTGATAAATTAACCCAAGAACTGGTTTTTCAGAAATAAAATACTAGCAAGTACAACTCATTAAAGTAATAGCTCAACACGGCTAACATTGATCTTTTAAAAAATACAAACAGAAGACTTTTTTTTCACATGATAAAACATACACATCACAAAACAGCAATGACTCTATAGAAAAATTCCCATTCAAGTGAGGACTAAGGGTCTCAATGAGCTCCACTATTATTTAATACATTTCTGGAACAAATAACCATTGCAATTAGACAAAAAGCAAGACACAAATTGTAGGATAAATATTTGGAAAGCAATGAAGCAAAATCGTCATTTGCAGATCATATGTCTAGAAATCACAAGTAAATCAAATACACAGAATCAGTCAATAGACCAAATGCAAAATAAAACAAAACAGCCAGTTAGACCAATATAATTCAAGTACAGAGCCCATTCACAAGGCAAAAGATACCAAACTATTTGCAAAAACTCTTGAGTAATCTGTAAGATCTACTGTGTTGTACTTTTCCTCACAAATGCCACTGTGAAAACGAAAAGCTGTAAAAGTCACAACGAGACCTACCTTGTTCTTGGATGGGACGGAAAAAACAACAGTGTAAAGGTGTCTACCCGTGTAAAGATGCCCATCCAAAGTAACGCTGAAGTTTGTCTTGCAGAATAACCCTGAGATCATCTTCAAAACTCTGAAAACGAAGTCAGGAGAAGGGCCTTTATCCACCGACAGTCACCCGCACACCGCAACCGCTCTTTCCTGGTCTGCGCGGCCGGGTGCAGCGCGCCGGCCAGCCGCCGGGGAGCAGTGACGGGCGGACTCGGGTTTTCCGGGGGCTCGCGGATTGTCCTGGAGCGTCGCAGGTTGTCGGAGGCAGTCCTGGGAAGTCGCGGCTTGTCGGAGACTGTCCCGGGTTTTTCCGGGGCGCCCCGGGTTGTCAGGTGGCGTCTCAGGTTGTCCTGGGGCGCTTTCCCCGCCCGCCCGCGCTCCCGGTCCACTGAGGCCCCGCCCATACCCGAGGGTAGGCCGCGGCTCTCGGTGAGCCCAGATGTCAAGGCAGTCAGGCGGAGGCAGCAAGGCCCGGCCTCAGGCCTTCGAAGGGCGGCCAACGCGGAGGGCACGGTCGGGGCCGGCGGGGACGGGCGGGGTGCCCACCACGCCTTGGAGAACCGCGGACGACGGCGCAGCCGCCGGACGACGCCTCAAGGCCCGGCACCTGCTGCTGATGGCCTCACCGGCCCACGAAGGGCCCTCGCCGGCCCCACCCACTTCACTGTGGCCCCGCCCCTCCGGCGGGCCTTCGCCTGCCCCGACCCACCTCCGACCCTCTGAGCCTAGCGCCAGGCATCACGCCTTCACGTCCGCGCCTTCTCTGGCCCCGCCCCCAACTTCCCTCTTCTACCCTCTTTGTGCCGCACCTTCCAAGACCTCGTCCCCGGCTCGGCCCGAGGTACTGCTACCCTCATCTCCAAGCCTTTCGTGGCCCCCCTCCGGGCCCCGCCGGCAGCCCGAGGGCGGAGACGGCGCGGGATGGAGCAGGAGGTGCGGGCGCTGTTCGCGGCGGGCGGCTTCGGGCGGGCCCGGCTCCTGCTGGCCGCCGTCTCGTGGCTGCCGGGCGTGGCGCTGGGGCTGGTGGTGAGCTTGGAGCTCCTGCTCACAGCGCGACCGGCGCACCATTGCTGGCCGGATCCTGCGCTGCTGCCTCCCGCGCTGCGCGCCCTAGACGGGCCCGCGCTGCTCCGGGCGAGCGTGCCGCGCATCGGGCCGGCGCGCGCCTGCAGCCTCTGCCTGCTGCTGCGCTACCCGGAGCCCGGCGCCCCGAGCCCAAGCGCGGCGCCCGCGCCCAACGGCACGCACCCAGGTGCGCCCGCCGCTGCTGAGAGGAGTGGGGGTGGGGAGGCAATGGGAAGGACATAGGTCAGCCTGTGGGCCGCAGCGCCCAGACCTTCTGCCGACCCCGCTTCTCTGCCTTTGGTCTAGTGGGGCTCTCACTTTAGGGGGGTCGCCCCTCCTGGGCTGACGGCTGGGGAATGGGGGCATCCTGGCCCCTCATTGACTTGAACATGTGCCCAAGGGTGGGGAAGGCTTTCCAGCCCCGTGAACCACACTCCCGGACTCCTAGTTGGAACCCAAAGAGGCTAAAGTTTTGAGGAGATGGCTGGGGTGACAAGCCTGATGGCAGAACCAGAGGGTAAGGGATGGGGGGTGGGGAGCTGTCCTGGAAGCAGGGCCTGGAATTCGCTTCCACACCACAAACATCTTGAGCAATGCCTATGGCTTTGGGCTGCAAGTGTTGGGTGTCTGGACTCCATTCCCAAGACAGGAAGCACTGGACCAAGGGAGCGAGAGGTCAGTTCAAGGCGGACAAAGGTAGACCCTGCATCTATCTTTAGGGGCTGGATGGGAGGCAGGGGAGCCATGGGGGTAGCTCAGTTGTCCCTGTGAGAATTGATGAGGGAGGGGGCACTTGGGGCCTCCGGTCCCCTCTTCTTCCCTGCCCACCCTGCCTGCTCCCTTTGGCAGCCCTCACCCCTACTCCCAGGAGGATTAGTCCTTAGTGTGGAAACAGGAGCAGGTTGCCACATCTTGTGCAGGTGCCTGCCTGGAGCCCTGACACCTGCCGGGCGTCTCCCCAGGCCCTGTTTCTCTATGCCACCTTAACCCTTCCTCCTGCCTGGTATATTGACTGATGGATGCCCCACCATCTTTCAGAAACAATCTCATTTTAAAACAAAAACTCTGGCATAGCATAACCAAATATAGTACATTTGGTGAGAAGAGACAGAAACTCAGAAAACTGGAGGTGGAAGGATTGAAAAGGTCAAGGGCCCTTGCCCAGGCAAAGCACTTGAGCATGCTCCAGGGAGTCCCTCTTGAAACCAGCAGGGCCAGGGCAGAGGAACTGAGGAAGTGCTGGACAGGCGGGGCAGGTGGTTGGAGGCCAGGGCTCATTTCTGATGCCTGTCTTGGAGCTGAATCCTCAGGGGGGTGGGGGCAGGTGTGTCGTGTGTATAAAGCCAGTGTGTCCCAGGGTTCCCTTACCCAGCAGGTGGGAGTTAAACAAGGTTGTAGACAAGGACCAGCTGTGGGGGTAGGAGACGGCTGGAAGAAGGCTGGGATGAGACCCCTACCTACAGACCCCAACATGGGGAGGGAGGACCCCACCCACACACCCCTGACTGGTCCTGGGACTGCATGTGCGTCTCCTGGGGACCCCAGGTCATGACCACCTGGGGACCTTAGACCACCAGAGTAAGGAGACTTCACTGAGTGACCTTGACCAAGTCTCTCCCCTGTTTCCTGTTACTTTTGTCTCCAGGGAAGGGTTGGAGCAGGACATCTAGGACCCCTTCCAGCCTGGCACTCTAGGCCTCCTTGTATCTCTCTGTCCCTAGCACAGGGGGAGGGAAGGGTCCCAGTTCTTAGAAGGGCTTGGCTGGCTAGCAGGTGACAGATGGCCTGTGTTCCCTGCAGTGGGACCTGGTGTGTGAAAATGGCTGGAAGGTGCCTCTGGAGCAGACGGGCCACCTGCTGGGCTGGCTACTGGGCTCTGTCCTCCTGGGCACGGGCTGTGACCTGTAAGCTACTGTCCCTCCCCTCAGGGTGGTAGCCAATGGGGTCCAGCTCGACCCTGTGTCAGAGGAAGGGGAGATCTCTGGGCTGTCCTGACCATGTCCAGCTGTGTCCCTATTGCCCCCAGGTTTGGCCGCTGGGCTGTGTTTATGGGCTCAGTGGTGCTGGCACAGTCCTGGGTGCCAGCGAGGCCCTGGCCACCAGTTTTCCTGCCCTTCTGGCCCCGCAGCTGCTACATGGGGGCGCCCTGGCGGGGGCCTTCCTGGCTCTCTTTGTGGCACGTGAGTATGGGGAGGGGCTCACGGGGGAAGGCCCTTCCCAAGGAGAAGGCCAGGCACGGGTATGGTGCCCTGTGGGCCTGAAGCTTGCTGGCCCAGGCAGCTAGTTGACCCTTGGGCTGGTATCTGGCTCCTGGGGGGACAGGACAGCCCTCCAGCCCTGGACAGAGCTGTTGTCCCCAGGCCTGGAGCTGTGCGACCCCCCGCACCGCCTGGTGTTCTCCATGGGCGCTGGCCTCTTCTCAGTGGTGGGCACCCTGCTGCTGCCCAGGCTGGCCTTGCTGGCTCAGGACTGGTGCCTTCTGCAGGGGCTGAGCACCCTGGTGATGGGCATCTTGCTGCTCTTTTGGGGGTAAGTGTGGTGGGAGGCAGAACAGCAGCCAATGCAGGAGCCAAGTGTCCATCCCTCTCCCTCCCTTCCACACTGGGTGCGTGGCCATGGGAGAGGGTCACAGAAAGCCTTTGTTAAGGTCCCACCCCTTTGGGCCCAGGGAGGGGGCACTGGCCTCAGCCACCACCGTGGGGAGGAGTCAAGGGAAGGAGGAGGGAGCAGCTTGGGGACCATGGCCACTTCCCCCTTCCACTGCAGGTTCCCAGCCCTGTTCCACGGGGTAGCCTGCCCAAGCCAGGAAGATCCTGTGACACTTTGCAGAGGCCAGCGGCATGGACCCAGAGGACAACTCCCCGGAAGAGAACTCCCTGGCAACAGGTAAGGAACCTGCCAGAGGAAGGAAGTGTGGTGCCTGAGGATGGAGGCAGGGATTTGGCACCGCCAGGGCAGGGCCCACCCTCACACACACACATCCCCTCCCTGTATCCCCTTGGCACAGAGCTGGACCTGTTGTCAGCAGGGAGTTCTCAGCCCCAGTACTACTCAGTCCTTGAGCTCCTGCACACCCAGGTCACCTGGAGAAACGGCCTCATCCTGGGCTTCAGTTCATGAGGAGGGGGCAGGGCGAGCATGGGCTCAGGGTCTATGCCTTCCCCCGCCAGGGCAAGGGGTGGAGAGGTGGTCCCCAAAGCCGCTTGTGTCTGGCTGGGCCCAGAGCTTTGCCCCCACCCCCTAGGCTGTTCAGTGGGGGCATCCGTGCCAGCTTCCTCCGTGGCCTGGTCCCCAAGGAGCCATCCTTCTACCTGTCCTACTTCCTGGCAGCTGGCATGGACACGACAGCAGTTGTCATCCTGCTTCTGACTGCAGATCGCTGGGGTCGCTGCCCTGTCCTGCTGCTGGGCACCCTGGCCACCAGCCTGGCATCCCTGCTGCTTGTCTCTGGGACCTGGTGTGAGTCCTCAGCTGGGCAGGCTGTGCAGGGTCCTCACGTTGGGGCGCAGGCTGCCCATGTTGGGTGAATCTGAACGTCAGGATACACAGGGGCAGCTGTCCCCACCCGGGACGCTAGGCAGGGACACTAGGTGGCAGTTGAAGCTGCACAGGGTAGACATGCAGGGTGGTGGTGTCGGACAGGCAGCTGTTGTTCTTTTTACCCCATCTACCTCCTGCTCATACACTTGGGAAAACTGAGCCCCAAACATGGGAGCCAAGAGGATCCTACTTGGGGAGGTAAATGCAGGGGCCCTCTGTGGCACCTGCCTGCAGCACAAGGTGCAGCAGGAACCTCAGCGGCAGGTGTGACAGGTCAGGGGTCAGGTTGAGGGGTCATGAGTGAGCACTGCCATGTCCCGTTGCTGGTACTGGATTACAGAATGTGGGGGGAGGGTCCCAGAGGGCACACCAGGCCAGCCCTGATCAGTGACACACAGGTGGGGGACAGGGAACCTTGAGGGGTCCCCAAGCTGTTGGAAGTGGGCCCCGAGGTTCAGTAATGTGTGATGGGTCAGCAGGAAGGGGCAGACCTGAGGGTTAGGCTGGAGCACGCCCAGCCCAGGGCATAAGGAAGCACGGTCTCTTGTTCAGAGTGCTCAGGATTTCAGGATGGCAACGCCAGAGCATTAGCCAAGTGTGGGTCCTCCCAGGTGCAGGGCCCTGTGGGGACCCAGGTCACACACCCTGAAGCCAGTCCTGGGTGACACCAGCCCTGGGTAGACACTGCTGAGGCACAGGCTGCAGCTTGGAATCAGGAAAACCTCCTTTGAACCTGAGCCACAGTGGAGTCCCAGGCCAGGTCCCTCGGAGGAAGGAGATGGGACTGGGGAGGCCGTTGTGGGCAGTATGGGAGCCCTCTCCTTCTTCCCAGACCTGCCCCTCTGGACCACGCTGTTGCTCTCTGTCCTGGGGCTCCTGGCCTCCCAGGCCATGTGTCTGCCCTCAGCCACCTCTTTGCTGCAGAGGTCTTCCCTACCATCATCAGGTAAACTCTGGGCCCACACTGGCAACGCAGCAGCCCAGCTCCTGACCACCCCTTCACACCTACACCAGGACTCCTGCTGGCCCACCCCCATCATCCTCCCTGCCCCCTAACATCCCACCCTCTGCCTGAGATTCTGCCATTCAAGTTCCAATGCTGAATTAAACATTGCCCGCCTCCTGGGGTACAGGGACACTGGTCAGAGGAGGAGCTGGACGAAGCAGATCAGGAACTTGGGAAGGGATGGGGGTCGTGAAAGCTGGAGGGAGAGTAGAATTTCGGGGAGGATCATTTTGTACTTTTCTAACTTAAAGAACAAAAACTTCCAGAGCAGGGAGGAGCAGCTGTCTCCAAAAAGTAATTTTGCTAATTTTTCTCTTGAACCACCCAACCTTTGGCTCTGCTAAGGGCTGACCCCTCCCCAAGCCCCGGAACTTCCCTTGGAGCAGTTGCCCACAGACACTGGGAGTCACATGTGTCCGTCTGTCTGTGGGGGGCATCAGCCTGTCCCGCATGCTCCCACCACACTCCCTCCCACAGGGGGGCCGGGATGGGCCTGGTGCTGGGTGCTGGGTTCCTGGGCCAGGCGGCTGCACCCCTAGCCGATATGCACGCCCGGCACAGCTTCTTCCTCCAGCACGTTGTCTTTGCCTCCTTTGTGGTCCTCGCCCTGCTCTGCATCCTGCTGCTGCCTGAGAGCCATGGCCGTAGGCTGCCCCAGATGCTGCAGGATGCTGAGGCCCTCTGCTGTACCCCATTCTTCAGGGGCCGCTGCCTCTGCTGTGGCCCCCCAGCCTGCACTAGGCTGACCATGCCCCCTAGATGCACTATTCCTGCCTGGTGGTCCCCTTGAGCCATGAGGAGGGAGATAGCAGTCAAGGCGCTGGACAGACACGTCCCACCTCTGAGGCCCATGTATCTGTGCTGGAGGAACCAGAAGGACGGTATGAAGGTGTCCCTGCCAGGCCCCTCGCTCCTGTGGCCTTGGAGTCTCCTCCCTGACCCACACCTATCAGGTGTGCAGGATAAAGGTGACCTTGGAACTTGGTGCCCTGGGCTGGAGGAGCTTCATCACACTGAGCCCCAGGGCCACGGTCCCCCAACCTCCCAATTAGGTGCAGCCTCAGACAGCCTGGTGCTCCAGCCCTGGCTGCCTGTCAAAAGGGCAGGGGGCCGAGTATCTGGGCAGTCCTGCCTTAGGCCCTGGACTAGCCAGAACCTTGTCCTGGGGGTGAGGCCGCATCACCCCCCTGGAAACAGAGCAGTTCTGATGCCAGGCTCACACCGGAGAGACTAGCACCTTTTAATTCAGATCTGCTGCGGGTGCTTCTGTCGTACAAAGATGGGGCAGATGTGGGAGAGGGCTGTGCTGGCCCCAAGTCACCACTCTCCCCACGCTGGGTGGGGGCACGCCGCCTCTGGCCACTACCTCCTTCCTTCTGGTGTCCAGAGTCCCCCTGGGAAAACGAAATGCTGGGGGAGGGACCCAGGGCCCTCTAGCCACCTCCCACCTGGCAGGGGTGGGGTGTCCCATCAGCCCCGTCAGACGGCCTTCTGTGTCTGGGCATGGTGCTGGCAGGAGAAAGCACCTGGGGTGGCTGTGCCTGCTGTGCCAAAGCAGCAAGACCCCACCCTGCTCCAGCAGACACCAACACACGGCCACCTCACTGGTGCCCATACATGTCTGCCAGCTGGGCAAAGCGGGGTCCCCAGTCCTGGAGATAGTCATAGTCCTGGTCCTCATCCCCCAGGCTGGACAGGATGGAGCTCAGCGTCCCTGCCACGGAGCCATCCCCCTCGTAGTCATAGATGAGGGCTGTGTCATAGGGTGGCACGCTGGGGTCACCATCTGCAGCCTCCAAGCCCTGCAGAGTGGTCACAGAGACTCAGGGCCCATGAATGGGGCCAAGGGGTGCCCCTCATTTCCCCAAGTTGGGAGACTCAAGGCCATGTATGGGGCCAGCGGATACCCCCATCTCCCCAAGCTGCGGCTACTCAGCCAACACCCAGGGCAAGGACACGGAACCCTGCTTAAGGTTGGCCCCTTTCCTGGCGGTCCTGGATGAGGAGAGGAGGGGGAGGGAGGGCAGCAGAGGGCTGTAAGTTTTGTGCAGTGTCCCTGAGTGTGGATGACAGCAGGGTCACTGTTGTGAGCCTCTTCTCGGGATGCAGATTTGAGGGGAGGAGGGTCCCTGTGGGGCTGAGACCCACTACCCTGCTTCTCCTGTGGGCTCCTTCATGAGTCAGTCCCTTGGTCCTGCTCCCCTTCACTCCCCCGCCCATGGAAAGTGGCTGGCTGGCTATCCCCCATCAGCACCCTTGTGTTCTCTTCAAAGCGGAAGCCTCTCTCCACTGAAGCCAGAAATCCAGAGGCATCCTCGACACTCCCATCAGCAAGACCCACTGGTTCAGCCTTTTAAAGGTTTGAAAACCTGCCAGTCTCCACCTGCACCTGTCCCCCATACACAACACCCCCTCTGGCCCCACACCCTCCTAACAGGGACATGCGAGTCTGCCTCTCAAGGGGTGGTTCGTGGGGCCAGGTGCTTCCCTGAGCCAGGTAGTGTGCTCCGCTGGTGCTGCCCCCCGCCCCCCAAAAGTGATTCCGTGCTCTGGTCACTTCCCGGGCAGACAATATCACAGCGCCCAGAGCGGCCACGTGATCTGTAGACAGCGAAGAAAAAGACCTGGAAACGGCCACCGTGGAGGACAGGGCCCTAGAAGTTTTATGGAGCGTGGATGCGGCGGGTAGCCACGTCTAACCTCTCGAAGCTCTAAAGCAGCACCGGGCGCCGCTTCACTTCACAAGGAGTAGTAGCGGCGGCGGCCACACCCCTAACCAGGACACTGCTTGTCCTCGTCAGCACCCCGAGGAACGCGCTTCAGGGGGGCCGTGCTATTCCACCGGGCGCTTCCACTCCCTCGCGGCGGCTGACCCAGCTCGGCCTGCGCTCTGCGCGCGCTCACGTCCGCCCCGCCTGGCCGCAGGGGACGCTCAGGGACAGTTTGTGCCCTCCCCACCCGCCCCAGGAGCACCTACGTCGCGGATGAAGCCGGCGATGTCGGCGGTGCTGGCGGGCAGCAGACGGGGAAGCGGGCCGGGCAGGCGGCCGGACAGGGCATCGTGATGCAGCGGCGGCCGCCTCAGAGGCCCGCCCAGGGCCGCTAGCTCTGTGGGATGGCGCAGCTGGCTGAGGTCGTAGGCGTCCTGTGCATACGAGGGGAGTGGAATTGAGCCCCGGACCACAGAGGGCGATTCCACCCGCACACTTCTGGGAGAGCCTGGGATGGGGTGCCGGGGGAGTTGTTTTTCCGAGACTCCTGGAAGTTTCCAGAGTCATCGTCTCCAGGGCTAACGTGAGTCCCTTCTATGGAAGCCCGGGGTGCTTCTTGAGAATCGTTCCCAAGACTCGGTACTTCCCAAACCACCGCACTCCACACACCCCTGTCCACTTCCGGCCCTCACCTGGCCTCAGGCCCTTACCTGGTCCTCCTCCCCGCCTCCCTGCTCGTCGTAGTTGAGGATGTTGTCCCGGAGGTCGTCCTGGAGCCCATGCAGCAGTCCCTTCTCCTGCGACCGCCGCCGGCAACGCGCCAGGAGGGCTACCAGCAGGATGAGCACTGGGCGCGGGGTGGGGAGATGGGGAACACGTTGGGGTCGCCGCGGCCGGGGAGGAGGACTTCCGGGGGTCGCCCGAAGCGAGACTTCTGGGAGCGCGGAGGGGTAGGGCGTCCGGGGACGCGGCGGTCTTGTAGGAGGGGCTGGGGCTGGGGACTGGTCCCGGCAGTCGAGGTGGTCCGGGCGTGGGGAGGGTCTGGGGCAGGGGGAGGGAGACTGGTCTGGAGACGTCGGGGTTCCGGGAGTGCGGTGTGTGAGAGTCTAGGGAGCGGGGCAGAGTCTGGGGGTGCGGGCTGTTGTTCATGGTCTGTGGGCACCAGGGAGTGAGTCTGGGGCGCGGGGTTGGCTCTGGGGCGGGGTGGGGAGGTCTAGGGGCTCGGAGAGGGAGGGTCGGGCGTGGTTGGGGCAGGGGTAGTCCCAGCACTCACTGAGCAGCAGGATGACGCTACCCAGCACTACGAGTAGCGCGCCCAGGCTGACGCCCGTGCTCCCAGCGCGAAGGGCTGCGGCCCCGGGAAGGCAGGCGCCGTCGGCGGCGCAGCGGCACACGCTCACGTTCAGCGGCTGCTCCTTCTGCTGCGGCGGCTGTCCCGAGTCGCGGAGCAGCAGGCTGAGGCGGTGCAGGCCCTCGGGGAGCCGGTGGCGCAACCGCAGACGCGCGTGGCTCACTGGGGAGTGGGCAGCCGTCAGTCAGCCTCCAGGCCCTCCGGCTTGCCTCCTCCGCCCCGCCTGTAAGGGCGAGCGCCCAGGTGGGAGTCCAGGATTCTGAGCCACAGTTTCCCCACCTATAGGCTAGGCATACTCAGTAATCCCGCCCCGCTAAGCGGGTAGCCCGGCGGTGAGTGTCCATCGCCCCCACGGCCGAGTCTCACCGTTAACCTGGCTGATGCTCCAGTTCTGGGCGAGCTCCGGGGTTCTGGGGCTTAGCTGGAAGTGGAAGGGGGCGCCGTGTGGGGGCAGATCCTCATCTGTGGCCCCCAGGAGGAGGCCAGTGCCCCGTGCCGGCTCACTGCAGAGGCTGCCGGCTGGCGGAGCCAGCACCGGCGCGTGGTCGTTCACCTCCAGGATCTCCACGGACAAGGTGCCGGTGGCCGTGCATGGCGGAGAGGCTGCGGGGGCAGGGCTGGGTTGGCTTGGTGCCCCACCCGGCCTACAGCACGCAGGCCCGCGCGCTCACGGCCAGGGCACAGCCCCATCCAGAACTAGGCAGGACTTCTTGCCAGGGTGAGAACCAGAGACTAGCTGGTGCTCACCATCATCGCTGACCAGGATGATGGCTCGGTACCAGCCGTCCTTGAGGAAGGGGGAGGTGGGGCTGAGCACACGCTGGGTCTGTATCTGGCCAGTGGCGGCATCCACTTGAAGCCAGTCCTCTGGGTCATAGTCCTTGGAGTAGCTGTTGGCAACAGTGGGGGGGAATGGGAAAGGGCATGTCTGAGCCTGCACTGGGGAACCCAGGAATGTGGCCATGCATCCCAACACACACACCTGAACACACACCAACCCAATACACACACCCCAACACACACACCTCAAACCCTCAGAACCACACAGCCCTCTGCGCAGGGTGGCACCCGCACACCCTCAGCACCTCTTGTGTTCCTGGCCTGGGGCATAGGGCATTGCTGGCCCCATAGCTCCCCTCTACCTCTCCCAAGGCCTCCCCACACACACCTGAGCCTCTGCAGCTGCTGGGTGTCAGGGTCGTGGGCAGAGAAGGTGGCCACAGGGGTCCCTGGGGCCGCCCCTTCAGCCAGGCTGGTTCGGAGTGGGTTCTCATGGAAGAGGGGTGCCTCGTTGATGTCCTGCACGTGCACACTGACGATGGCCTGGCCTCGTGTGGTCCTGGGGGCAGCCGCCTGTAGCGGGGCCTCGTTCTGCACCGACACTCGGAGCTGGTAGTGCTCGTGGCTCTCGTGGTCCAGGGGCTGGGGGACCGAGCAGAGGTGGGCTGACACTCAGGACCAGGCACCAATGCACACGGGGGCTTAGGACTGGGTACCCACTGCACACAGGGGCCCAAGGCAGCCATGGGCAAGGGGAGTAGCCACAGTGGCTCCGATCAGGAAGGCCAGGGCTGCCGCTCCCCAGTCTGTCTGGAGAGCCCCCTACTTTATTCCCTTTTTTAACCTTGAACAATAAAAACTAAGCAGGAAAATAAAAAGCACAGAAAATCATATAAAGTAGTAAGTACCAGGATGAATCTGTTGGTATGCACTATATTTTTACGCACTAATCGTGTAGAAAGCACACTGTAACTCACACACAGGCTTGTGTACCCCCCGCCCGGCCCTGTTGACCTATGGTCAACCCCAGTCCTGATGCTGCACCGTGTTCCCTCCCTCTATTCTCACACAGGCTCTGAGTGGGGCTGGGGTGAGGAGTGCGGCTAAGTCCCTCCCTCACTCAGTGCCAGCAACTGAGAGCTGGGGTGCTCACCTTCACTACAGACAGGATACCCTCGTTGGTCCTGGGGTCCGTACGGACGGTGAACTGTCCATCAGGGTCGCCCTCCAGGATTGTGAACCTGGCCGCCCAGTTGGGGGAGCCAGGCAAGTCCCTGTCCTGCACCTCCAGCCGACCCACGTCCACGCCACTGACCGCCTCCGTGGCCTCCAGGAAGAACTGGCAGAGGCCAGGCCCCATTACCCACCAGGGCTGGTCCAGCAGATAGCTGTGGGTCGGGCTACCTTGGGGCCCTGGCATTCAGGACCCCCTCCTAGGCCTGGGCCTCCCCTGCCCCACCTTCCTGTCTAAATGCTGCCCTTCCTGCAAGCTCCCCAGGAGCCTCCCCTCAATGTCCTCTCTGATTTGTCAGTTTTGTGAGTCGCTGCCCCCCAGCGGCCCCCGTGAACCCTCTATCTGTGCCCTGGAGGGTGGGGCTGGCCACTCTCCCCCAACCCCCAGTGAGGGCCTAGGGAGACTTGCCTCCACACTAGTTTTCAAGAGCCCCAAAGGGCTCAGCAGTGGCCTCCCCTTAAGAGCCTAGCACCTTGCTCCCTGCAGCTCTATGTCCACACTGCCTGTGTGGACCTCTAGTGTAGACATCATCCACCTGGACATCTACCACACAGGCCCCCCCAGCCCCCAGAGCACCCCAGCCTGTGAGCCCTCTTTCGTCCCGGCCCAGAGCTGCAGAGCGATGGGCAGCCCCAAGCCAAGGCTGGGGGTGTGGCAGCACCTGGTCCCTGGTGAACTCAGGCGCGTTGTCATTGATGTCGTCCAGGGTGATGATGGCTGAGGCCGTGGCCGTAAGTCCATCCCCAGACATGTCTGCCACCTGCAGGCTCAGGTTGTACGCAGTGACCACCTGTGAGTAACAGCACCATGAGGAGACAAGAGCCCACAGGGCACTGAGAATCAGGACTACCAGCCCCCTGGGATGGGGTTGGCCCCTTGCAGAGCCCTCCATGGCCCAGGCATCGCGCCTGCATTCGAGACAGGCAGAACACTCACTGCCTGGTGTGAGTGAAGACGTTCCGGGGCCTGGTGGCCTCACGGGGACAAAGACATCTGACCAACCATGGGTTCATGCCTGTCTATTGTGGGTGGGGTGGGGGTGAGCTCAGCTGTATACTGGATAAACACTTAAGGAGCACTGACTGTGTGCAGGGCGCTGGGGGCCAAGCTCCAACCATCTGGGCCCCTGCCCTGGGAGCATGATATAGTGGAGGAGAGAGAGACAAATGGACCACACAGCAGAATGCCAGGAAGCCATGGGGAAACTGAGGAGGGCTTCCTGGAGGTGGTGACACACAGGTAGGCACTAAGCCAGGTAGCAGGGGCTGGAGGGGATCTTGGCAGGAGGAGGCACGTGCAGAGGACAGACAGATGGCAGGCTACCAAAGAATCTGCTATTCTGGAGGGGAAGGGCCAAGTTGGAGCGGTGTCACAATGAGGCCCCAAAGGGGCAGGAGGCCCTCAAGAAAGGCCTCTCCTTCCTGCCAAGCGGTCTGTTTGGGGTGACTGGTGGGCAGGGGGAAACCCTGGTGGCGTAGTGATTAAGAGCTATGGCTGCTAACCAAAAGGTTGGCAGTTTGAATCCACCAGGCGCTCCTTGGAAACTCTATGGAACAGTTCTACTCTGTCCCATAGGGTCGCTATGAGTTGGAATCAGGTTTTAACCGGTGGACAGGGACGAGAAGACTCACCCAGGCATAGGTGGAGGGCTTTCACGCCCTTTTTTGATCTAATCTCACAAAACCTGTGAGGTCTGTAGAGACATTGTGCCCGGTTGCCAAGGGGAAACTAAGGCCCAGAGAGATCAAGAGACCATCTACAGGAGGCAGACAGTTGGCTTGAGCCAAGTCTGGGTCCAGAACCCATGCCCATGAGTATTTAGCAGCACTCAGCTCCCCTCCTACAGTGGGAAGTGTTCACCACGGTGAGCAAGGCTGGGCACAGGGATATCCAAAATTAGCTGCCCAACACAGCAGGTGAGGATGGCCTGGAGGGCAGGCCCAGCTGCACGGGCGCGGAGCTCCCACACTGGCTGGCCCACAGCCCTCACCTCGCGATCCAGACCCACTTGCACAGTTCGGATCTCGCCAGTGCGCTCGTCAATGCTGAAGAACTCAGGGCTGCCCTGCGCCAGGATGGAGTACCGCAGTGCCGCGTTGTCCGTGTCAGGGTCATCTGCATCAGTGGCCTCTGCTCTCATCACGAAGGTACCTGGAAGGACAGGGTGCGTGGGGCCAGTGTCCAGTGAGGGGGTCGCAGGGCCGTACATGGGAGGTGCCATGTGCAGTATCATAAAGCCTTGTGCTATGGATTGAACTATGTTCCCAACAAAGACGAGATGAAGTCCTAACCCCTGTACCTGTGAATGTGACCTTGTTTGGAAATCAAGTCTTTTTTTGGAGGTGTTAACAATGTCACACGGAGTAGGGTGGTTCCTAATCCTTCCTATATGCCTGGTGTCTCACAGAAGAGGAGAACAGACATTGGGACAGGGTCACACACACGGAAGAAAAATGCTGAAGGAACGCCAAAGATCACCTTCAGTCACCAGAAGCCAGGAGAGAAGCAAGGAACAGTTGCTCTCTCAGAGCGCCCAGAAGGAATCAATATAGCGACACCTTGAATTGGATCCCAGCCTCCAGAACCATGAGAGAATAATTCCCGTTCTTTAAAGCCACCCACTGTAGGGTTTTGTTACAGCAGCCCAAGGAAACTAGGACACCTGGCTCCCGCCATGAACCCCAGTGGCCAGTTCTTCTTGTCATTACTCACATCACTAAGGCTAACTGGAGGGACCTTGAGCCATGCCCCAACTGCAGGATGCTATTGCCACCTCCCCACAGACCACCACCCACGCCCAGGGCCCACCTCTGGCCTAGTAGATGTGACATTGGAGACTTAGCCTGACTCTTTTGTCTGGGGAGGTGGGGCGGAGGGTCTGACACACAGACACGCAAGAGCTGACACCACTGTCTTCGACCAGACCATGGAAACAGCCTGGAGCAGGGCTAAGTGTGCTGGGGTACCTGGAACCTGCCTCCCCACAGGCTGGAGAACCCAGCTGGCCCTGATCCCTGAGAGGTGGGAGCCCTGACCCCCAGGAAGACAGAGGGTGCCAGCCACAGGGTGCCCTTGTGACACTGCCCGGCCCACCTACACTGAGGCAAGCACTCACCCACAGTGACAGCAGCCAGAGCTGGACCTGTATCAGAGGGAGGGCCCCCAGGGATGACAGGCTTCTCAGCCTGGTCCACCCCAGGGGAGCCATGGAGGCAGGAATCCTGCCCATCTTTCATTCCTGTTCCTTTTGTGGGTTCTGACCTGGCCCACCCAAGTGCATGGAACACAGGTTTTCGGGAGGGAGAGAGGAGGGAAAGAAGGAAGGGAAGGAGGATAGAAGGCAAGAAAGAGGGAAAGAAAAACGAAGAAAAAGGGTAAAGCAAATGTGAAAAACGTTTAGGGAGTCTCTGTGACACATGCATGGGGATTTTTTTTGCAACTTTTTGCAAGTTTGAAATTACGTCAAAATAAAAAGTTAAAAGAAAAAATAGTCATTTTAAGCCTTGAAAAACAAAAAATAGGATGCCATAAACTAAACATCAGCAGCCAAGGAGGGCCCCAGCTTTTGCCATTAATCCAGTGCTTCCTAACCTGTGGAAGCACAGGACTTTCCTGGGATGTGAGCTAAACACCTGGGGCCAGGGTACAAGTGAGGTCTATACTGCCCTGGGAACAGAACCAGGCCAACTGCCACTCTAACACGCTGGGACCAGCTGGGTGTGCACTGGCTTCCTGCCTGCACAGGCTTATGAAGGACAGAGGGGTGTGTTCCATCTGCAGTCAAAACGTGAACTCAAGAAGCAACTAGAGGGAGTGACTGCTTCATGGGCATGGAGGGTTATTTTGGGACGATGGAAGTGTTTTGTAACTAGAAATCGTGGTTGTACAACATTGTGAATGTACTAGATGCCACAAAATCATACACTTAAAAATGGCTAATTTTGTTACATGAATTTCACTTCAATTAAGAAAAAGAAAAGAAATAAGCAAAGTTTTGCCATCTACTACTCCTGTCTGTATTTCGGAGGTTTCTGGGGTTTGAAATTTATGATGAAATGGGAAGTGGCTTGTGTTGGCTTGTGGAAACTCCCTAAGTCCTGAAGACTCTTACATGTAGACCCTTTGAACGACCTCCAAATTCTTGCTTATGGGAATTTCTGGACTTCCGACCTGCCCACAGCCCCTGCCGAAGCTTCCCTCCCTGAGCTGGGAGGCAGTGGGCAGCCAGGTGGCCAGGCTTCCCGCCTCACCTGGGGCAGTGCCCTCCAGCACACGGCCGGTGAACACCTCCTGCTGGAAGACGGGCCGGTTGTCGTTCTGATCCACAACCACGATCTCCAGGTCCGTGGGATCCTCCAGGGTGGATCCACCCAGGTCCAGGGCAAAGGCCCTTAGCTGGTCAAGCAGAACGCAAGGGCTGGCACTGTGGTCCCAGTGTTGGTAGCTCTCACAGGGTCATGCAAACGAGGCTTAGCCTCAGCTAAAAACCACCAACCTATATAGGTGTGAACTGGCACTGGGGCCAGGGCAGGTGTTATGGCACATGAGAACTTCCTCTGAAGAAGAGTCTGCTTTCTCTTAGCAGCAAGGTGGCCAGCATGCTTCCCCTCTTGCCTTGGCTGCCAGAGAGCTCATAACTACACTTACTTTCTCTGTAATGTTTGGCTCCTTTTGAAGTTTAATTCCCCTGTGCATGTAAAATTTAACTTAAATTATATTGCCTCCTATCTTAGTAGAGAACAGGCATGACATAATTTCCAAGTAAAAAAGATACAAATAGATTTCTGGAGCCATGGTGATGCAGTGGTTAAGAGCTCAGGCTGCTAACCAAAAGGTCAGCAGCTCGAATCCACCAGCCACTCCTTAGAAACCCTATGGGACAGTTCTACTCTGTCCTATAGGGTCGCTATGAGTCAGAATCAACTTGACAGCGATGGGTTTAATACCTTTTTGTGTAGGTAAACCAAGAGCTTGCCCTTAAAAGTTTGGAGGAAGATTTAGGATACATAGAAGGAAATTTAACTTTCTGAAAAAGCAAAAGTGGGAAGCCTCCTTGTCCCAGGCCAGGCACAGAATGACATTTCGAGAGTGCAGGCTGGGGTTGGGAGGGAGCTAGGATGCAGTTCTAGGCTCCACGAGGTCTCGCCTCCTTGGCTTCACACCCACTTGGAGTTTGGCTCTCAGTCCCCCACCCCACTGCCCTTCCTCTCAGACCCTAGAACCCCAAGCCCTTCAGGGGGCAGGTTCTGTGATCCTCCCCTGGCTGTCCCACCATGAGAATCAAGGGAGGTGTCACTGTGATTAGACAATGTTTAGGATTCTTCATGGCAGCCCCATCCCCACCAAACACAACCAGGATTAATGGGAAGTTGGCTGTAGGTTAAGGGGGCTACAACCGGACTGATGGTGGTTTCCTGGGAAGGCTTGGGCTGCTTAGGGCACACCTTGGCATCCAAGGCGGCCTGCCCTGCTGCAGTCTTCCCAGAACCAGTCCTCCCTGGGGCCTCAGTTTGCTCATCTGTTCAATGGGGACAGCAGTCTGGAACACCTGCTTCCTTGTGTCCTAGGTCCCAACCCTCCTCCCTCTCCCCATTAAGCAGTTTGGATCCTGGGAGGTGGCAGAGGCAGGACTCTAGGGCTGGAGCCCACCCTGAAGCGGTCAGTCTTTTCACGGTCCAGCATGGCGTTCAGGAACACCTTCCCAGTGAACTTGTCAATGGAGAAGACGCCCCGAGGCTCCTTGTCCACGCCAGGGCCTTGGATGCTGTAGATGACACCGCCCAGTGGCTGCTTGTCTGACTTGATCTGTGGGGGGGGGCAGGTACAGACATCAGGGTGATGTCTGCAGCCCCCAGGCCCCTTCCCCAGCAAAGAGCAGTGAAGGTCCAAGGTGCCTCGAGGGCCAGGGGTGGGGATGCCCCAGAACCCCATGGGAGCTGTGTCCCAAGCATGTCCCATCCTAAGGCCTTTCTCCCAGGGTACCACACCTGGGGTCCCTGGACCCTGTTCTCTAGGGATAGATTTTGGGTGTGTGCTTGAAGGTAGAGGCACACACGTTACAGGTTCAGCTAACATATATCAGTGTCTGGTAAACAGACAAAAATCCTTCCCACAGAGAGCTCCTGCCCTGCTGGGAAGGGTGTATACTAGGGGCATGTCCAACCAGGGGATGTGTCCACCCAGGGAGCATGTGTCCACCCAGGTGTGTTTACCCAGGAAGTGTCTACCCAAAAAGTGTGTCCTCCCGGGGAGTGTCCACCTGGGGAGCACCTACCTGGAGAATGCCTACCTGGGATCACATCCCCAGTGGGAGGCAGGTACCACCCACCCAGGGTGTGGGGCCCCAAGGGTGATGCAGGGTGAGTCTCGACCCCCTCTTAGGCTCAGACTCAGACCAGAACCCTGAGTGGGGGGCCTCCTGCAGTAGGCTGTGCCCTCTGGCACAGCTCCAACAGGAGGTGGAGGGGCCCGGAACTCCTAAACAGCCATGTGGGTGTGGGGAGGCCCTCAGTGCGCAGCCTTTGGGACACCAGGGACAGCCCTGCCTGCCCTCACCTGCACCAGGGGGAAGGGGATGCGCTTGTGGTTCTCGGACACGCTGATGGGAGGGATGACCCAGGCTCTCCGCACACGGCCCAGCCCGGGTGTCCGGCGCCAGGGGAACAGGGTGCTGGGCCTCCATGGCCCAGGGATCCCTCTAGATAGGCTGAGGCCCTGCAGTAGAAACAGACAGCAGTCACATGACCAGTACCCTGCACCCTCCTGGCTAGGCCTGCTGAGGGCTCTACCAGTGGGCCTAGAGGAGGTAGTACAGTCAGCCTCGGGCCAGGGAGAGGCTGGGCTGGGAGACCAGACCCATGAGCTAATTACAGGGCCCCACTGCCTCCTTGGGGCCAAGACCAAGTAGGCCCACCCCTCAGAGCCTGTGCAGCCCACTCCCTGACATGACTGCCCTGCATCTGTCCCCTCCCCTTACCAGGAGCCACAGAGCCCAGGATCCATCACTGGATCGTTCTCAGGCCCTGTCTGTCTATTGAGCACCTGAATGAGGAGGGACATGCCAGATTCTATGCCCTTTCTTGGGAGACCTGCAGTGCCAGGCTGCCCCTGCCTGGGTACTGGGTCCCACTGGTGTCCTGAAGGGTTGAGGAAGCTCAGCTGCCAAGCAGCCGGCTGAAGGCCTTGCCCTGCCTGGCCAGCTGGGTGCAGAAGTGGGAGGGGAGAAGGCTCAGTGGAGGCAGAGGGCTGGGGGGAAGCTGTGGAGGGACAGAGGTCAGAGTGATGGCAAATGCAGCTGTTGGGAGAAATGGCTGGGCTGGGGCTGCAGCAGCCCCTCCTAGAGCCCTTTGTGGCTAAGAATGTGGGAGACAGGAAGGACAGCTGTGTGCCCCCACACCCTACTCCCTGGGGGAGACACACACCCCAGGCCCTGCCCCATGGCCAGGCTAAGTCACTGCCCAGGCCTACACTTACTGCTGGAGGGAGGGTGGGAGGGCACCTCACCCTTTGCAGCACCCTGTCCTCGCTCAGAGTTGGACCTTGACTCTATTGGCAGAATGAGGAACAGCAACAGCATCCAAATACAACCACTGCCTCCAGTGGGCCCCTGAGACCCCCAGCAGCAGCTTCCAGCCAGAACCAGGGCCGTTCCAGGTCAAGTGGCGCTTCTGCCAGGCCAGGACATGCCTGCCCAGGTAGGAGCCTTTTGTCACCATCAGCAGTGACAGGGCTGGCTCTTGAGCACTTCCTGGGGCAGGTCCTTTGCTCAGCACTGTGACTGCATTCTCTATCTCCCCCATTCTGTCTCTCTATTCCCCTACCCTCTGTCTGTCTGTCTCTGTCACTCTATTCCCCTGCCCCCACCGCCCTCCTGTCTCTGTCCCTCTCAGTCCTCACAGCCCCACCGGGAATCGGGGTGGGGGGGAGGCAACACCCTCTCTTCACAGCTCTGGAAAGTGAGGTCCAAGAAGGCCAGGCCGTGTAACCAGGCCACACACAAGAATGTCACAGAGGCGAGTTGGTGCTAGGTCTAAATCCCACCAGAGGGGACTGGGCTTCATCACACAGAGCAACATGCTCTCCAGGAAGCTCTAAGTGATGAGGTCTTGGGTCCTTGTCCTGGGGATCACTATGGGGCTGGCAAGACCTCAGGGCACTATCCTCTGACAGAAGTTCCTACCCTCTCCTGCAGCCACACCCCTCCCCATCCGCCCCCTCCCTGCCAGCTGCTTGGCTGGTGCTGGCTGCCTCCCCAGCTTGGCACGGGGCCCAGGTGCAGCCAAGGCAGAGCCTGGGAACCTGGGGTTCCTGGCCTGTCTGCAGCCCAAGTTCATGAGGTCAGTGGAAGCCACAGCGCCTTGGCCAGGCCCCTCCCTGATCAGAGGCTGTGGCCAGTGAGGGTGGGCTGGTGGGGCCATTGCAACTTCCGGCTCTCAGGGGCCTTTGTGGAACCTGCTCTT